TTAGTAATAAAAAGTCTCCCAACAAAGAAAAGCAAGGAGCAGATGGCTTTATTGTTGATTTCTACCAAACATTTAAAGAAGAACTAATACCAATACTTCTTAAACTATTTCAGAACATTGAAGTAGACAGAACTCTTCCAAACTCATGCCATGATGCCAGCATTACCCTGAGTGATACCAAAACCAGGCAAAGACACAACAAAAAAAGAAAACTACAGGCCAATATCCCTAATGAACATAGATGCAAAAATCTTCCATAAAATACTGACAAACCCAACCCAACAGCACATCAAAAAGATTATACACCATGATCAGTGGGATTTACCCCAGGGAAGCAAAGATGGTTCAACATATGCAACTCAATAAATGTGATACATCACATCAACAGAATGAAAGAAAAAAAACATATGATCATCTTGATAGACGAAGAAAAAGCATTTGATGAAATTCAACATTTCTTTATGATAAAAACTCTCACAAAATTAGGTATAGAAGGAAACTATCTTAATACAATAAAGGCTATATATGAAAAACCCACAGCTAACATCATACTGAATAGGGAAAACCTGAAAGCTTTCTCCTTATGAACTGGAACAAGACAAAAATGCCTTCTCTCACTACTTCTATTCAACATGGCACTGGAAGTCTAGTTAGAGCAATTAGACTAGAGAAAGAAAGGTCATCCAAATTGGAAAGGAGGAAGTCAAATTGTCCTTGGTTGCAGGTACATGAGTTTATAGAGAGAAAACTAAAGATTCTGCCAAAAAACTCTTATACCTGATAAACAAATTCAGTAAAGTTGCAGGATACAAAATCANAGTAGAAGAAAAGAAATAATAAAAATCAGAGCAGAAATAAATGAAGTTGAGACTAAAAATACAATACAAAAAATCAAATAAAAAACTAGTTCGTCAAAAAGATAAACAAAATCGACAAATCATTAGCCAGACTAACCAAGAAAAAAAGAGAAAAGACCCAAATAAATAAAATCAGAAATGCAAATGGGACATTACAACAGATAGCACCAATATACAAAGTGTCACCAGACACTGTTATGAACAACTATAGGCCAATAAATATGAAAACAGAAGACGTATATAAATTCCTGGACACATAGGCCTTACCAAGACTGAACCAAGAAGAAATAGAAAACCTAAATAGACCAATAGCAAGTGACAAGATAGAATTAGTAATAAAAAGTCTCCCAACAAAGTAAAGCAAGGGGCAGATGGCTTTATTGCTGATTTCTACCAAGCATTTAAAGAAGAACTAATACCAATACTTCTTAAACTATTTCAGAACATTGAAGTGGACAGAATTCTTCTAAACTCATGCTATGATACCAGCATTACCCTGAGTGATACCAAAACCAGGCAAAGACACAACAAAAAAAGAAAGCTACAGGCCAATATCCCTAATGAACATAGATGCAAAAATCCTCAATAAAATACTGACAAATCCAACCCAACAGCACATCAAAAAGATTATACACCATGATCAGTGGGGTTTACCCCAGGGAAGCAGAGATGGTTCAACATATGCAACTCAATAAATGTGATACATCACATCAACAGAATGAAAGAAAAAAAAAAACAAAACCATATGATCATCTTGATAGACAAAGAAAAAGCATTTGATAAAATTCAACATCTCTTCATGATAAAAACCTCACAAAATTAGATATAGAAGGAAATTATCTTAATACGATAAAGGCTATATATGAAAAACCCACAGCTAACATCATACTGAATAGGAAAAAGCTGAAAGCTTTCTCCTTATGAACTGGAACAAGACAAAAATGCCTTCTCTCACTACTTCTATTCAACATGGCACTGGAAGTCTAGTTAGAGTAATTAGACTAGAGAAAGAAATTGCATCCAAATTGGAAAGGAGGAAGTCAAATTGTCCTTGGTTGCAGGTACATGAGTTTATAAAGAGAAACCTAAAGACTCTGCCAAAAAACTCTTATACCTGATAAACAAATTCAGTAAAGTTGCAGGATACAAAATCAACATAGAAAAATCAGTAGCATTTCAACACATTATCAAAATACCAATGCCATTCTTCACAGAAATAGAGAAAACAATCCTAGCATTCATATGGAACCACAAAAGACCCCAAATAGCCAAAGCAATCCTGAGGAAAAAAAAAAAAAGAAAAAGAAGCTGGAGGCATTATACTATGTGACTTCAAATTATACTATAAAGCTACAGTAACCAAAACAACATGATACTGGCATAAAAACAGACACCCAGACCAAGGCAACAGAACAGAGAACCCAGAAATCAACCCACATACTTCGAGCCAACTGATCTTTAACAAAGGCAACAAGAATTTACATTGGCAGAAAGACTGCCTCTTCAATAAATGGTGCTGGGAAAATCAGACATCCATATGCAGAAGAATGCAACCAGACCTGTACTTCTTGCCATGTACCAAAATCAACTTCTTGCCATGTATCAAAATCAAAGACTTAAGCATAAGACCTGAAAGTATAAAACTCTGACAAGAAAACATAGGAAGTAGGACTGGGCAAAGACTTTACGAAAAAGACCCTAAAAGCACAAGCAACAAAAGAAAAACAAATGGAATTATATCAAACTAAAAAGCTTCTTCATAGCAAAGGAACAATCAACAGAGTGAAAAGACGACCTACAGAATGGCAGGAAATATTTGCAAACTATACATCTGACAAGGGATTAATATCAAGAATATAATAGGAATTCAAACAACTTCACAGTAATAAACAAAACAAAACAAAACAAAGAATTCAGTTAAAAGATGGGCAAAGGAGCTGAATAGACATTTTTCAAAGGAAGACATACAAATGGCCAACAGGTACACGAAAAAGTGATAATAGAACGTTACACTTGAATAGGACTTTATAATTTAGAAAGTGGTTTTTAAAAATTATTTATTATTATCTCATTCATCTTCATTACAACTCTGTTACAAAGGTATTATTATTACCACTTGACACAAAAGGAAGCTCTCATTGTCCTGTGGCTTTTATGTGGTGGAGTTCTGCTGTCTGCTTTGTGACGCTGCTACCCTCCTCCCATCCCTGGCATTCCAGGATCCCACAGGAGATCTCGGTTAGCACCAGGCCACATGCACATCAAGCCACACAGACACATTGTACTACACCTGCACACCTGGAACTCCTTGCTTTCCTGTGGTGGCTTGCTCAGCCACCCTGTTGTGACCTCCACCCTGTCTGGCTGCTCCTCTGCACAGCCAAGACCTTGCAATTCTCCCTCTTAGAATAGTTGCCAGTTACTGACCTGGGCTGAGTCTGAGTAACCAAAACAAGCAAGATTTGATCCAATGACCACACTCTTCTCCCTTGTGACTTCAGGAGACTATAATGAACTATATGTTCCAAGCACGTGCAACATTTCTCTGGCCTATTGAGCACACTCTTTAGTTTGACTGTCTTCTTTGCTGCATCATAATTGGTAGTTCAGAGCCTTCGATCCTGTAAATATGAGTATAGTCTCTGCACCTCCTCCCTTTCATGAGGGGTAAATGCATATCTTCAATGGTTCCAGAGCAGAGGCCATCTGCCATTTTATGCTTCTTTTATAGAAAACTTTCTGTGGCTCATTCTTACTGGGTTGGCATTTTCATTTTTAGTGGAACTTAGTGTGACTTGTAAATGTGAGAGTTACCTTGCATTTCCTTCTTCATATCATTCATAATGTGACTGGGCACAGGTCCAGCTGCCTGCCCCC